CTTCTTCTTCTTCTTCTTCTTCTTCTTCTTCTTCTTCTTCTTCTTCTCTTTTTAGATAAGTTCCCACTACCTAGCCCAGGCTGGCCCGGACCCTTACAGTCCTATCCTGTTACAACATCCCTAGTGCAGGGATTAGAAGCATGTGACATAGGACTGCCAACCACATTCAACACTTCTAAGCAGACCCCCATAAATGCCTCCAGATACTTAGGGCAGACAAGGGCCAGCTTGGTTTCGGTCTCCTGGTGAGCATCCGTGAATAAGATGGAGCCAGAGGAGGATTCTGAGCAGAGAGGGGTCATGATGGGACTCGGGTGTGTGCTGGGTCTGGGTAGCTGTGGAACGGGGCCAGGGTTGGAGGAGGAGCAGGAACGAATGGGGCAGGAATGCCACTACCGAAATAGCCATGATAGAACAGCCAGAGAAGCAGTGGACAGGGGCTTCCTAATCCTCCCACCTCCCAAATCCCAGCTCTTAATTCACAAACCAGATTATTTATTCCAAATTCCATCCCACGGCCCACTTTGAGTCCCAGTGACAGAGGGACAGTGTGACCTCTCCTCGCCACTCCCTCCCCAGCCCCATCCCTCCTTCCCCAGGGCTCATCCCACTCCCACACCCCGGGGTGGCTCACTTTCTGGTCCCGAAGCCGCTCCCCGTGGATGACGTAGTGCCCCTGGCGGGCCCCCCCCTCGGGCCTGGCCCCTCGGACCCGGCATACGCTCACCTGGCTGAGGCCCCCGCCCCCCACAGGCAGCCAGCCCCCACTGGAGTCATCTCGGGCCATCACCACGGCTCGGACCCGCACCATGTACCTGGAGGAGGCAGGGAGGACAGAAACAACACAGGCCGTGAACTCTAATCTTGTTCCCGGTTTGAGCGTTCTCCCCAACCCTGCTCCCCTTTTTATCTCTTACCTCTGGATTTACCTCTCCCTCAAGCCCTCAGCACACCCACCCCTTGCCCACTTTCCTCCTCTATCATGGCTTCTTTCTTCTTAGTGACATCTTGCCCACCATCCTTTTTTGTATCTACCTTTTCTCGCTATCCCCACCTTTTCAGAACCTTCCCCTATCCCCACCCCAAAGGCTAGGTTTGCTACTTCCCCCCTCCCTACAACTCCCCCTCAACCCCAGTCTCCTCTCTCATCACAAACCCATAGCCCCACCCATTGTCCCCCCTCACAGCTGGATTCCTGCGCATATGTATTTTCTCTGGACCCATCAACTCAGCCTCAGTGACCCCCAACACTGCCTCCGCACCCCAGAAGCCCAGGCCACTAACTGGGTGAGAAACCCTGGCTTCCCCCCCACCCCTTCCCGGATTTATGAATGAGACCGGATGCAAAGCTCACTGAGTCACCCAGCAACCAGGAGATGGGTAGGGAGCAGAGAGAGAACCAGAAATGGCCAGAAAGAGAGGCCGAGAAGGAGATGGAGGCAGAGAAAACCAGCAACCGGCGACCGAAAAGATTCAAGGAGCATTTCATTCACAAAAATCAAGGCTGCTCCGGTTGGTCTCAGTTGCGGGAACCCAAGGAAGAGAGATGGGAGGGGAGATAAGGATCCATCCCCTCACCCCCCCCCCATCCTTCAGAAACATTTTACCCCGCCCCCAGTTTAGGGGATGTAGCCCTCCGCCCAGCAATCAGGATTACCGTTTATCCTCACTGTCCCTAGGCTCATGGACCCTGAAGTCCCAACCTTAGGAACCCCAGGCAACGAGTTCTAGCCCCCTCCCCCACCTGCAGGATGTCGGGTTTCCCCAGCCGTTCAGGAGGGGAAGGGGCGGCCACAGCGCCCCCAGCCCCCTTTTCTCAATGGGATGGGATTTTGTGAATGAGCAGTCACGTGACACTGCTTCCTTTGTCCGCCCGCCTCCCCCAACAACAGGTGAAGCAGGGAAAGAGGGCAAGGGTCCCCCCCCCCAAAGGCCTAGCTGAGGTAGGGCACTGAGATCTTGGGGTGTCCTATGTTCCCACACATCTATTTTCCCGGGGAGAGTAGTCATCAGAGTTCCTCAATGGCGAGGGTCTACGACAGAATTTTGTGAATGGGGCATCCTCGGAAGAAGTCCAGGACCCCCGAATGGAGATTGGTACCCCAAATGGCTACCGCGTAGTTTGGTGCCCCCACCCCTCTTGTCCTCCCAGCCTGTATCCGCGGGGCGCAAGGGTGGGCAGAGGGTTACGGCTGCGATCCGGGCTGCCCCCTCACCCTGGCAGGCGGTCTCCTCAGCCCCCCGCCCCCTCGCCACTCTGGGCACCTGCCTGGGAGGCTCCGGCCGGGCTCCGAGCGGCGGCGACGCGGCCTCCTCCTCCTCCTGTTCACTCCCGCTCCCTCGCAGGCTCCGGCGGCGCTGGAGACGGGCACCGGGAGCCGGGGCGGGGGGGGGGGGGGGGGGGGGGGGGGGGGAACCTGGAAGACGTGTGTGGGGGAGGGGGCGGCTTGGGGGAGGGGTAGAAGCAAGGCGGGCGTACATGCCCGCTGGGTCCTAGAGCCCGGCTCGGTCTACAACGAACATCTCCTATAGCCCCCATTTTCTCGGGACCCAGAAGGGAATCCCCACTTTGCCGCTTCTCTGGACGGTTGGTCCCTGAAGATGTGAGAAGGGAACAGAGATAGACCCTGGCCTCGGGATTCTAGAGAGAAGGTGGGCCACGGTCTGGGCTCTGAATGGGAGGGGCGGGATGCCTGGCAGGGTTCGAAAAGGGGAGGGGCCTAGGAGCCTGAGTAAGGAGGAGGTTTGGACGCTGAAGGAACTGAGAGGGTGCGTCACGGAAGGGGCGGGCGGGGGGACCTTCTGAGCCATCCGAGGGAAGACAGGGTCTTAGAAAGAGATGCTGCCTGGACTTAGCAAGGCGGAGCTTGGACATAAATCTCCTTAGTGGCAGGGCAAATAAGAGGCCCGAAAGGAGGAGCTACGTAGCCGTGTTTGCCATGGGCGGGGTCCGGGGAGGGGCTTAACAGAGAGGGGTGGGGCATTATAAAGGGGTGGGGCTTAATGAGAAGGGGCCTGCCCACCCACTATGAAGACGTTCCTGTATTTCTAAAGGTGATCCAGGTTCGAAGGGCTGCGCTCAAGCTGGCTCCCAGGGGGCGGGGCCTCGAGCTCGGGGCGGGGCCTAGATCTCGGGGGTCGTCCTCGCAGTCTCGCCCACTTGCCTTCACCCGCACATCCGTTCTTTTCGGTTATTTTCTGCTACGGCCGTTCCCCGCCCTGCCTTGGGCCCACGGGGCAGTGATCTGATCTTTGGTCGGCTGGAGGAGTCGGTGAGTGGGGTCCATTTAAGAGGCGGAGCCTGGGCGGAGCTTGAGGAAAGGGGTGGAGCCTAAGTTAAAAGCTGTCACAAACGCCAAGCGGGAAAAGTTTAAGAGGCTTGAGGATTTGCAGCTGGCTGAGAAGAGGGAGGGATCCAAATGATCGACAGAGAGAGTCGGTGGGTGATCGGAAGGTTAGGACTGAAGGACTAGGGAATTAATTAGACCGCAGTTCCAGGTATTTGTTAGGCAGAGGCGGACCTGACCCGGGGCGGGGAGGAGCGAGGATACGGCCGGCTGCTTGACAATCGGGGGCGGGACTAGAGAATGGGGCGGGGCCTGGTTTGACTAGCGTTAAGTGAGAAGCGTGAATTCATTGTTGGCTACTGGGCGTAACCATCATTACCCGTGTGGTTTGAAACTTTCAACAGAGAGGCTGGCGAGACTGACTCCTGAAGCCTGGAGATCCCGGGAGTGGCAAAAGTGTTAGGGATGTGATCTAAGCAGCCAAGGGATCAGGGTTGGCGCCTTTGTACATTAAGAAGTTAGATTCGAAGAGTAAGAACCGCAGCCTTGAGACCATGGGGAAGGGGGCGTGACCATGACGAATCGGAGAACTGAAGACTTAAGAGACGGGGGCTGAGAGAGAATACTGGAGGACAGGGCAGACCAATGCAGACAGGGGCAGTTCAAGAACAGCCTGAGCCGTGGAGTCCCCGCAAAACCCGCCGACTGACTGGTGGAAGTTTTTTTAACCACAGTCCCCGACCTTCTTCAAAAATGGGGAACGTGCAGTCGGAGCCGTCCGCGGGCGGGGGTTCCCGAAAAGAGCAGGCCTCAGACCGCGCCTCCGACTCCCGCAGGACGCCTCTGGTGGAGCCCGAGGTGACCCCCTCATCCCCTGCCATGCGCCTGCCTCGAGGGCTGGGCGTCTGGTTCCCTGGCAGTTCCGGGCCCCCGGGACTCCTGATACCCCCGGAGCCCCAGGCCTCATCCTCGCCCCTACCCCTAACCTTAGAACTGCCCTCGCCAGTGACACCCCCTCCAGAGGAGGCGGCTGCTGCGGCGGTGTCCACACCACCCCCGCCCCCCGTGGGGACCCTGCTGCCCGCGCCATCTAAGTGGCGAAAACCCACGGGCACTGCAGTGCCTCGGATCCGCGGTCTTCTGGAGGCGAGCCATCGTGGTCAGGGTGACCCTCCGAGCCTCCGCCCGCTGCCACCGCTGCCCCGGCAACTGACCGAAAAAGACCCGGTCCTGAGGGCCCCAGCCACACCTCCGACGTCCCTGGAACCTCGGAAACAACTACCACCAGCACCGTCGACTTGCGACCCGCAGCCCCCGAGCCGCAGAGTCACTCTGGCCTCGTCGGCCACAAGCCCTACAGAAAGCCAGGTCAGACACAGCAGCGAGGGTCAGGCAGCCGGGGGAGCCCACGGAGGGGTACCTCCTCAAGCCGGAGAGGGCGAAATGGCTCGGTCCGCTACTTCCGAGTCTGGCCTGAGTCTGCTGTGTAAAGTCACCTTCAAGTCGGGGCCCCATTTGTCCCCCACATCGGCCTCGGGTCCCTTAGCAGCCAAAGCTTCACTCGGGGCCGGTGGTGGTGGTGGTGGAGGACTGTTTGCCTCTTCTGGGGCCATCTCTTATGCTGAGGTCCTGAAGCAAGGGCCCCAACCTCCTGGAGCCACTCGTCCCTTGGGAGAGGTTCCTCGTGCAGCTCAGGAAACCGAGGGTGGTGACGGAGATGGCGAAGGGTGTTCTGGTCCCCCTTCGGTGCCTGCTCCCCTTGCCCGGGCTCTACCGCCACCCCCTTACACCACCTTCCCAGGTTCAAAGCCCAAATTCGACTGGGTGAGCCCTCCTGATGGCACTGAACGGCACTTCCGATTCAATGGGGCTGTTGGGGGAATCGGGGCGCCCCGGCGGCGCACGACCACGCTCTCAGGGCCTTGGGGATCCCCTCCACCAAGGTCAGGTCAGACACATCCAACTTCAGGGCCGCGGAGGCCCACACCTGCCTTGCTGGCACCACCCATGTTCATCTTCCCAGCGCCAAACAATGGCGAGCCTGTTCGCCCAGTGCCTCCAAATCCGCAGCAGATACCTCCTCTGCCACCACCACCGCCCACACCACCAGCCACGCCACCACCGGCGCCGCCACCCACACCACAGCCACCAGCGCTCCCGAGGACGCCGATTCTGGTGCCCCGTCCGCCTACTCCAGGCCCTGGCCACTTAGAATCAGCCTTGGCTCCCAGCCCTCCCTCCACTTCATCCCCGACTGCAGCTGCCGACCAGGCCCCAGCCCCGCCTCCAGCCCCAGTGACATCCCAAGTATCAGCAACCACCACCGCTGAGCTGTCCCCGCCAATGCCCCAGCCCAAGATTCGTACACGCAGGAACAAAGGTCCCCGGGCGGCCCGGGGTGTTATCCGTGAAGAAGGGACTTCTGGAGATGGCCCTCGAGAACCAAACACGGCTCCGGTGACTGACAGCAGCAGTGGAGGGGGTGGCGGTGGTAGCAACGGAACCTCCACAGCTGGGGCCTCTAACAAGGGAACAGCAAGGCACTGGCCACCTTTCGAGGTGCTTAATTCCTGTCCCTGCAAGTGCTACTGCCGCCATCAACGCCGTCACCGTCGTCTGCCACGCAACGTATCTGCCTGGTGAGGGAGATGGAGTGGGAAGGAGAGGGCACACTCCAAGTCCTGCACTCTTTACCCTGGATGTCAGAAGATCACATGCACTGGCATCTTGACTGTGGGCTACCCCACTAGTTACCTGGATCTCAACTTAGCTGAGCCCAGGAGCCCTGGCCCTTCACTGGCCTTAGCTCAACCCCTCGGTATTCTGGATGCCAAGCTGACCCTCGGTCTTTACTATCTGTAGCCTCCCTGCTGGCCTGACCTAGCCACTGCCTCGACCCCACCCTGGGGGCAGTAAGGATGGTTTATCAGAGATGGGGAAAGGAAACAACTGTTTCTGGAACCTGAGGGTGGAGTAATAAGCCCCCAACTTCCCTGGTCCCAGTGAAACTCCGGTGTTCTATACCCGCACCCACCTAAGAGACCAAGGCTTTGGCCATTGCTTTACCATGGGGGAGTGGGGGTCACTGCCCCTTCTCCACCTTTGCTATTATACCAAACCCCTGGGTTTGGTTGCCGGGCCTGGCTAGACAAAACCTCCTTTGGGGGCTTAGTTGAGGGTCCTCACACTCTTCCCCATTCTATATGGATGTACCTCTGCCCCCAAATGCCCTTAGGAACCTAGGACAGCCTTCTTGGTTGTCCTTATGCCCATGGGGGAAGTGAAGTCACAGACTACACAAGACAGACCCTGTCAATTCATCTTCCCAGGCTGAGTACACCCACCAACCACCTGAGTGAGCCGCCCTGGGTAGCCACCGTCAAGCTGGCTGGCTCCCTAGTAGCTGGCCTGGAGCACTACGACTTACAGGCCACCCATTCTACCTGAGTGCAACTGCCCAACCCCCTCTGCCTCACCCTCCTCGACAATAAAGTACCCAGTCTACAAGCTGCCTAACTGTCCGGTACCACCAAGGGACGGGCGGGAAGGCTTCCTAATTAAGGTGGCTGGCCCAGGGTTGGGGCCTTGTTCTCCTTCCTACTATTAGTGCTGTGGCGAGCCCAGGTCATGGGTCACTCTGGAGCAGCAGTGGGGACAACCAACTGGACAGCTTTCTTGAAAACCCCGCAGGTGGCTTGGCAAGACTTGCAGTTTCCCAAGAACTTCAAAGCAAGAAATCGGCTAGTAGGCCAGTCTGGTCTAAGTTACAATGTCGGCTCCAGGAGGCCAGACTGGACACACCCCTATCGGGGCCCATACCACTTATTACAGAGGGCTCAAATGGTAGCCCACAGACAAAATCAGTTTCATGTCTCATTTTTAAAAATTATTTAATCCATGGCCAACATTTTTTAAAAACTGAGACACACGGTGCTTCACTGGAATCTAGTCCCCTGGCCCAGTACCAAAAGTGCATCCACAGCTGGCTAGAAGAGTCCCTCAATCTGGGCCTGTGCTCTCCTGTGGGCCACTGGGCATCTATGCTTAAAACCCAGAGCAATGAATGGCAACTCACCCAGGGAGCCCAAAGGCCCCCCCAAACTCCCAAATTCTCCAGGAGCAATTATCTCCGCCATCCACTGGGGAGACCAGGGCCCATAAGAGGTTAATCTGCCTTTATTGAAGGCCAGCTTATACTGGGTTTGTTGGACTAGCCATATCAACTGCCCTGGCCGAGGCTCAGACAATCATCTCCAGCTGCCGGGCATACTCGATGACCTGTTTGGCCAGTTCAGTAGAGGGGATGGTGCTGTCTTCTGGCTTCTGCTGCTGGCTGGCAAAGCTGTAGTAGTTGTTAGGGCCCAGCACCCAACCTCGCTGAGGAAAGAGAGATGAGAAATAGGTGGGTGACCACACAGGCTGCCCTCACCCTATGTTAGAAGCCACTTCCCATTGTACTGTGCTCCTTTTGTCATGGACTGTCACTAGGCTGACTCTGTGCCTCAGTTTTCCCATGTTTGAGATGGGTACCACAGCCATGTTCCTCTATGGATCTACAAGACTTACAAAGCCTCTGAGCAGAACCTGCATTTGGTCCACAGTACGAAGCTGGCCGCTGCCTCCATCACTCCTCACAATATCCCTCTGACAGTCTGCTCGTGAGTTTGGGGGTCTCAAGACCACTTGGCCAGCCTGAGAACCTCACAGTCTGCTCTTGCCTCTTCTCCTGCCTCCTGGGACACCAAGGCCACTGTGGCAAGAGTCAACATCCCTGGAGGCACTGCTCCACTCAAATGAAGCAGTGTAGCCACTACCAACAAGTTGCTGCTTCTAAGGAATTCTTAGGGCAAACTCAAGATGCAGAGCGTTCCTTAGAGCTGGGGCCCGGTGCTGTGCTAAGTCCACACGTGTGTCAGACTCTCTCTATGGGAAGGGCAGCGAGCTCAGAGAGGCTGAGCCACCTGCCTGGAGTCTCACACCCGGGTTTAGTCATGGGCAGTCTTTGTTTTGCTGGTGTCCCCACAGACTATCCACACAGTGCACTGACACTGTTCAGACAGGAAACAATACCCTCCATCTCCCACCCTGATCCGCGGTCCCTTGCCCCACACCCTAGCCACCTTCTTGGCATAGTCTGTCATCTTTTTGGGTGTGCTGAAGAAGAGGATCCGGGTAGCCTCAGCAAACAGGATTTTCTCATAGGCCTTCTCAATGCATCCTGCGATTTCATCCCTGTGGGAAGGTAACAGTTCTCATCACTGACAGACAACCTCTCAGATCGTCTTCCAGTGAGTAACTCCAGTACTGAGGGCTTAGAGGGAAGGGACTAACTTGACCAGTCACAAAGCAGGCCAGGGCCAGGCGGGACCCACAGCTCAGTCTCTAAGGAAGTCTTTTCACATAGGAACCGTCACAATGGATGAATGAACAAGAGAGCTTTTCTGCATGCCTGAAGCACCACAGAAACCAGGGGTGGTGGTGCAAGTTTGTAATCCCAGCATGCAATGTGGAAGGTGGAGGCAGGAGAAACAGGGTCATGGCCAGCCTTGGCTACATAAAACCCTTTCTGAATCCCCCAGTCCCAGTCACGGCTGGGAGGGCAGCTCAGCAGCAGAGCACAAGGTTCTGATTCAAGCCGTAGAGCAGGGAGAGGGAAAACACACTACGAGAAACACCAGGGCGTCAACTCCTAGGAAGCAGGCAGTGTGGCTGGCATCTAGGGGACGAACAAGGACAGGAAGTCTGGGGGCCTGGACCCCACATACCTGATAGTATCCAACAGGATGTCAATGAAGAAGGTATAGCTTTCAGCAGGGATGTTCCCCTTCGCCAGGAACACCTTGTTGTAGCTACCTTCCATGAGGTACTGCCAGGGCCAAGGAAGAGGAGGAAGAGGATGGAGGTGGTGGCATAGGCTTCCCTGCTCCCTTAGTGCCTCCCAATCCCTGCTCTACCAGAACACCCTTTGCCACTTGGCCCACCCATCTGCAGTAGACTGGGCTCCTCCTCTTCCAAGAAGCCCTACCTGGCTTCCACACTCACCCTGCAGCTCCTCTAGACTGGCGTCTAACCACCTTCTCTCCCATCACAAGGGAAGAAAGATGTAAACCCCAGCTCCCACTCCCCATACATGCAAACTGCTGCCCCCACCTCCCACATGGCCCCCCTCCTCACAACTTAGTCTTCTGGAGGCCTCAGTACCTGACACAACTTCCCAACCTCAGCTCCCACGGCCTCACCCTGGCCTTACCGTCTTCTTCTACTGTCTTCTTTACTGTCCTTTACTGTCTAACTAAGGCAGCAGATTTGAGCTTCAGGACACAAACCGCCTTTGCCAGATGACCTCTTAGCCCTTCAGGCCCTCTCTGACCCCTCCCAGGCCCAGGTCCCCATAACACTTAATGTCCCACACACCACACAGGTGACTCATTCCTTTGGTACCTCTGCCTCCACGCTTCACTGACTCTAGATTGGGTTTATCTGTTTCACTTGCCTTAGCATGAGAACCTACCCTGGTGCCTGGCACATATCTGTTATGCTGGTTAAAAGAGTTGGTGGATTGAAAATGGCTGATCATTCTTCCAGGAAACCCCCCCAAAGTCAGAACTGGTACCACCCACCTGACCCAGGATCTCCCTTCCCCTGCCCAGCCTCACTTGCTCAAGGGACACAGGGTGTTTGATGTAGACGTTGGTCTGGATGTCCTTGGCAGGCAATCGTTCTAATTCTGTGTGGAACTCTGCCACTCGGTTCTGAGACAGCAGGAAGAGGAGGTTGAGGCCCAGGAGCTGGTGCATGTAGGCTGACTCAGGAAGCTGTTCCCTGTAAACCAGGGAGCAGGAGGGGACCAAAGTTAACAGGCACTAGGGAGCTAACCAAGCCCCTCATCTACCTTCCAGTAATCCTACAACTACTTGCAGGAGTTCAGACACATTAGGTACAGAGAGGCAAGAAAAGTCACAAGTCACATGGCCAGAGCATATACGGACCACCGTGAATCAGCCCATTTCCCATCTGTTAACAGCTGTCACTAGGTAGCCAGACCATAAAGGCCTGTTCAGTAAACGTGAGTTAAATGGTCTAATCTAAGTAAGTAAGGATAGTACCCAGAGGCTGGATACTCAGTAAGCAGAATGTTTCCTTCAAGTGAACAAAACTTGTGGTTCAATCCCCAGCACTTCATAAACAAGACATGAGGGTGCACACCTGGAATCCCAGCCACTAGGAGGTACAGGTAGGAGTATCCGAAGTTCAAGATCAAAAGGGCTACTACACAACTGAGTTCTCAGCCAGCTTGGGGCACACAAGACATAGCCTCAAAAAACAACAGCTGGGTATGGCGGCCCATTCTGTTAATCCCAGCACTCAGGATACAGAGGCAGGCAGATCTCTATGAGTTCCAGGCCAGCCAAGGCTACACAGAAAAAAAACCAAACCAAAAACACAAAGAAAAAAAACAAGAAACCGGCAGGGGGCAGCACTACATATACTCTTTAGGCATCTCAAACAAAACAACCAGAAAATTGTGAAGCAAAGTAGCATCCTATTGGCTGTCATAGATATGTCAGCTAGAAGGGTAACACGAAACCACGCTGGGTAGTGGGGACAGAGTGTGGGACTAGATAAGGGAAAACAGATTGGAAGGGCTGAAGAGATGGCTCAGCAGTTAAAAGCACTAGATGCTTGAAGAGCTCTGCCCTTTCACAAGGTCCTGAGTTCAATTCCCAGCTCCCACGTGGTGCCTCACGACCATCTGTAATGGGATCGCATGCAATTCTCTGGTGTTCAGACATACAAGCAGATAGAGCACCCAGATACATGGAAATACATCAATCAAACTGTTTAGAAACTGACAGAAATAGACCACACAAACCCAGTCTCAAAGTCTCTAAGTTAATCTTCTGGCCCTCTGGCTTCTGGGGACAGAGCTCAGAACAGCAATGGTTCTCAAGTGAAGAAGCCAACTGGAAGGAGTCAGAGAAAAATGAACTACCAAGAACCCACCCCTACTTCAGCCCCCTCCCTAGAGGGCCCAATCTCACTTGTAATCAAAGTAGTAGCATTTGAGCTGGGCCATGTAGCGCTCGAAGGAGGGAATGTCCTTGCATAGGATGCTCCACTGGGCCCCAATCTCCAGAATGTCCCCTGTGAGTAAGAGAAGAGGAGCTCTCAGGTGGTGGCTGGAATCCCTCCTGGGATCAGCACTGCAGTCATTCCTACAATGACCCAGGCCCGTCACCCTCCACCAACCCTAGTGACACTCACGGGCCAGAATGAGCTGCTGCTTCGTCAGTTTGGTCCCCGTGGTTGGCAGGAAATTGAGCTCCAGGAGAACCAACTGAGGGGGAAAGAATGAAGAGATGACTTCAAAGATTACTTTCTCTGGACTTTTATGTTCCTACTTGAAAAGATGGAACTTACATGCACCCTAACCCACACAACTGCTATGAGGATTAAGGGACCCGGTACTTGTAAAGCATTCAGCACAGGGCCTGAGAGCACAGAGAGTACCAACTGGATTACGTCATCTTAAAAACATTAGTAACTCCACTAATGCCTGACCCAGTGGAATCATGGCGTGGGGAGACGCCCATGACCTCCATCCTTTCTGTTGCTATTTTTGGCTTGTTTTAGGTTTCTGTTTTGTTTGAGACAGGATCTCCCTAGGCAGGCCAGTCTGGTCTAGACCTGGAGACCCTGGGGTGTCAGCCTCTCAGGTGCGCGGATTACAAGTGTGGGACATCATATCCAGCTAGGATACTGAGTTCTGGGAAGATCTACTCCACCACAGTCTGCCAGAGACGGGCTAAGGAGGAGTGTGGGGCACTAATTTTTCCCCTTCTGCCAGTCCAGCCCAGACACCATTCCTTAGTAAACGTTGGAACCTAATCCGTATTTCGTCGTTGTAGTGTTATTATTGTATATACTTTGAGACGAGGTCTGTGTAGCACTAGCCTCCTCGAACTCGCTACTGAAGACCAGGCTGGCCTTCTATACACCTGAATGTGTTTACAACCGAAACCCACGCTCTTCTAGATTCGTTATGGCCTCAAAACTGTTCCTGGTGCAGCTCGTCACACAGATGTCTCCCACCCTCTGCTCTCTCACAGCTCACCTGGGCTTTATCTACCACACATTCCCCTCGACGCCTCGTCATCCCAGCCCGATTCTTTCCACCGTCTCCTCATTCGTCAGCTGTCTGATCCCACTCCTGCCTCCCTCCAAGTACCAAAGCTCGAACCATCTCATTCGACTCTGCCAGAACCAGTCTTTCCATCACTCTCTCCCCACCGGCGACCTGATGGGCCGGACTTCGCTCTTCCCATTCCTCGGTCCGCTCTACCAGCCCTGCTCTCCCGTCCGTCTTCCCTCCTGTACTAGGACCCGGCGATCTTACCTTCAGGCGGCCCAGCTCTTCCCCACATTTACTAAGATTCGGGCTCTTCCGGTTCCACTCATCCTTGAGTTGCTCGTACATGCCGGCCGCTGCCTGTAGGATCCCGCCCGAGGTGGCCGCGGGCCCCGCGCTCGGGACGCTGGTCGACCCGTTCACCGTAGCCGCCGTGGCCGCCATCTTCCGTGATGCGGCAAGCCGCCGACCTGACTTACGGCAGCAGCGCCGAGCGACGGTCTCCCGGCGGAAGTGAGGCCGGGAGGTGGAGCCCAAAGCTGGAGGCGGAGCTACGGCTGCCAGCTTCTGCCGGCCGCGGGAGGAGCGCCGCAGCTCTCCTCCGGGCGCCTTCGCAGCCCGGCCCTTAATGAACATGCCACCGCTCTGCCTCTGCCGTCATTCAAAATGGTGAACGGAAGTCGGTTTGCTCCAACCGAAAACAATACCCACAATGCCCCGCCCATTCCCGTAGTCACCATGGCGGCCCTTGCTTCGGCCTGTGGAATTTCCATCTTAAGGGTACCGCCTCCAGGCCGAGAGGTGGCGATGTGGAGCCACTTGGAAGACTGTCAGATGTCACTACGAAGAGGACTCGCAGGTGGGATTTAAAATCAGGGTGCTTGTGTTGGTCAGAGCGTCATTCTCCCACATTTTTTATTTTTCTCGGACTCTTTAAAAAGATTTATTTATTTTATGAGTGTGCGAACACTGTCACTGTCTTCAGAGGCACCAGAAGACAGCATCCGATCCCTTTATGGATGGCTGCGAGCCACCATGTGGTTGCTGGGAATTTTAGTCGGGACTTCTGGAAGAGTAGTTAGTGCTCTTAACCACTGAGCCGTCTCTCCAGTCCCCTTTTTTCTTATTTTTGAAATTAAAATATAATTACAGACAGAGCTTTGCGGTTCACGCCTTTAATACAAGCGATTGGGAGATAGAGGCAGGCAGATGATCTCTGTGAGTTCGAGGCCAAACTGGTCTACAAAGTGAATTCCAAGACAACTAAGCCTACACAGCGAAACCCTGTCTCGAAAAATATTATATATATGTGTGTGTATACATAGATACATAAATACACACACATACACATATATATTTATATATACAGACACATATATACATATTATATATGTATATATACACATATATATACTTACGGAAATTGGGTATAGTGGTTTAGCACTTAGCAGGCAGAATTTGAGTCCAGTCCAATCTATGCCAAGCGTTCAAGAACAGCCAGGGTTACATAGAGGAATCTTGTCTCAAAAAATTTACATATATATTAAGTATATTTTAAATTATATTACATACATATGTATATATAAATAATATATATATATTATGTGAGATACATATAATAATATATATGTAATATAATATACATAATATACATAATATAATATAATAATAATATAATATACATGTAATATATATATATTACAGAAGTGAGGTCAGGAAGTGGAGCCCCAATTATACATATAATTAGTACAGGTTGAAGAGACAGCTCTGAGTTCAAGACCACTTGCTGTTTTTGCAAAGAACACAAGTTGGATTCCCAGCGTCCTCATGGTGGTACCTCTAACTCCAGTTTCAGGAAATCCAATACTCTCTTCTGATCTCTGAAAGCATCAGACACACGTGTGGTGTATATACGTACAAGTAGGCCATATGTACATACCCAGATACATACAAGTAGGCTATATGTACATACCAAAATGGGGTGGGGTTTTTTTTGTTTGTTTCTTTTAATTTTTTTTTTTTTTTTTGGTTTTTTCGAGACAGGGATTCTCTGTGTAGCCCTGGCTGTCCTGGAACTCACTCTGTAGACCATGCTGACCTCGAACTCAGAAATCCGCCTGTCTCTGCCTCCCAAGTGCTGGGATTAAAGCCGTTTGCCACCACCGCCCAGCTTTTTTGATTTTTCAAGACAGAGTTGGAGTGGAAATTTCTGGTTATGTCCTGTGATGCAGTCTCATGTGATGTTTTGCTGAAGCAAGACCCGTTCGAGGACACGTGATGTTTGGAGAGGGTGTAAGTAGGATTCCACAGACAGGGAGGGTGCGCTCGCTGTGCTTGACCGTTTTCGTTGGTCTCTGTGCTTCACTCATCCTCACCTCACTGAGAGAGAACTTCTCCTGGCATCCCAGGTGATTCTGGCCACTCTTGCTGACTTGTGCCCATGCGGGCAGAGGCCTGGCTGTTTCAGCTGGATTGTGCCACTGCTGCTGATTCCTGTTTGAACTGGACTGCTAGTATCCTGACGATGGAGATTAAAATCGTCCCAAAGAACTATTTCTAAACAGGTCCACATCCCCTTGTCCTGTTCACCATCTTTTCTCCCCTACCTTTAGATGGTGGGCTAGAAGGGGGGGTGTCAAAGCATTTGAGAACCCTTATTAAAGTAGGTTTTGAAAAATCTAAGCCTAGGCTGGAGAGATGGCTCAGTGGTTAAGAGCACTGACTGTTCTTCTAGAGGTTCTGAGTTCAATTCCCAGCAACCACGTGGTGGCTCACAACCATCTGTAATGGGATCTGAGGCCTTCTTCTGGTGTGTCTGAAGACAGCTACAGTATACTCATAAATAAACATATTAAGAAAAGAAAAAAGAAAAATCTAAGGCTAAAAAGGATTTCTCTGTGTAGCCCTGGCTATCTTGAAACTCGATTTGTAGACCAAGCTGGCCTAGAACTCACAGAGACCACCTGCCTCTGCTTCCCAAGCGCTGGGATTAAAGGCTCCTGACTAATTTTTAAAAAGGGAGGGAGAGGTGTTAAATCTTACTTTATTTTCCTTTCCCCTTTCTTCCCTCCAGCCATTCCCATGTAACATAAATCCCCACCAAATTCACAGCCTTTTGTCTCATATTCTCTGTTATATATTCTTTTTTTTTTTTAAAGATTTATTTATTTATTTAATGTATATAAACACACTGTCCTTGAAACACCAGAAGAAGGCATCAGATCCCATTGCAGATGGTTGTGAGCCATCATGCCATGTGGTTGCTGGGAATTGAACTCACGACCTTTGGTAGAGCAGCCAGTGCTCTTAACCATTGAGCCATCTCTCCAGCCCCTGTTATATATTCTTAAATATATAAATGCAACTTGCTCAGTCCATAATAATGCTACTTGAATATATATAATCTCAGGGCTGACTACCTGTTCTTGGTTATCAAATTGAGGGTCTGTTTCCCTGAGAAAAGCGTTGTCTTTTAGCATCCTTAGTTGCCTGTGGCTATCTAAAGGTAGGGCTGAGTGAGATTTTTCCCTTTCTTGTTAGCATGTCCACTGATACCCTCCTTGTTCAGGTCTTCTTTAGACAGCAATATTCTTGAGACTTCCCTGGCATCTCTAAAGGCCTTCCATACATTTCTTCAAATTTATCCATAAACAATTTAAACATAAATGTATGAACTATTTACAAAAAAAATCATAAATGCCTAATGTCACAAAGAGGCAGAGATTTCACAGTTTTTATTATTATATTATCATTGTTGTGTTTTGGTTTGGTTTTGGTTTTTTGAGACAGGGTTTCTTTGTGTAACCCTGGCCATCCTAGAAGTTTCTTTTTTTCTTTAAAAAATTGCTTTTGTTTTTTTCTTTTTTTTTTTTTTTTCAATTTTTCAAGACAGGGTTTCTCTGTGTAGCCCTGGCTGTCCTGGAACTCACTCTGTAGACCAGGCTGGCCTCGAACTCAGAAATCCACCTGCCTCTGCCTCCCAAGTGCTGGGATTAAAGGCGTGCGCCACCACCACCTGGCTGCTTTTGTTTTTCAAGGCAGGATTTTTCTGGGTAGCCCTGGCTGTCCAGGAACTCTTGTTTGTTTGTTTGTTTGTTTGTTTGTTTGAGAAAAACAAAGATTCTGTATTTTATGTATTTGAGCACTCTATCTGCATGTACCTCTGCAGGCCAGAAGAGTGCACCAGATGCCATTATACGTGCTGCAGAGGGATCGTGTGGTTGCTGGGAAATCAGGACCTCTAGAAGAGCAATGGGGACTCTTGACAGCTGAGACGTCCCTCCTTTTTTATAATGAAGTCACTAATTTATTTTCAAGAGGGAGACTGCCACAACACTAGTAGCGGAGGACAAATTAGGAGAGCTGTTTCTCTCCATCATGCATGCTCTGGCCATCAAACAGGGTTGTTTGCCAGGGTTGGCAACAGTGCGTTTGCAAGTACAAGTACCTATCTCACCAACCAGAATTTCCCAATTTTATCCAACATCCACTTCTTCCATGGATACATAAATATTGCCCCCAAAATATCCTGAAACCCACCCTCAAAATAGCCCTCTAATACGTTATTCTCAGGATAGGAGGTTGCTTGCCTCTGTCTCATTTTTGCTGGCCTTTGAAGGCCACCATCCCCACCTGTCACATTGCTTTCTTTTTATCCTTTTGTCCTTTCAGAACTGCCATTGTGCACACACAAGCAAAGCATAGGGGTGGGATTAGGAATGGCATGACTGACTTGAGGCTCTTAGCCCCACCACTGCCCTGTGACTGGTACAGTGGGGACCCTGAACTGAGTGGCTGACATGACTTGTGGTTCACCCCTTCTTTCTCTGAGCAATGTGATGTGTGATGGCAGCCTCTGAGGGTGAAGATGGAAGGCTTGAGGTCTGAATCCACATTCAGTGCTGAAACTACAGGCTTGGGCAGATACTGAGGGGCCAGACCCAAAGCCTTCGGTAACAACACTGAGGGGAGTACCCTAGGGAAAGCTCTAATCTCAGGGTTTGGGAGATGGAGAAGCATCAGGGTTTCAAAGTCATTCTTCAGTTTTACAACCTGTTCAAGGCCATTCTGCATTATAGGAGACCTCAGCTCCAAGAAAAAGAGTAGAGGGAGGGAGGGA